AAAGTTAAATTTGTAAACTTGCGTTTTTAAACGTTGAAACGAATTAAAATTTCTTTCTCAAATTAACACCACATTCGTCTAACTAAAAATATACTTTCTAAATTATGCGAATTTGTACAATCATTTTTGTTATTATTATCAATGAGAGTAGATTTTAATGACCAATAATGTAGTGTGCACTTACTTTGTGATACAGTTCCAGTAATTTTCACTAACTGTATGCAATCAGCGTTAAAATTTATTCTATAGCGGCATTTTTTGAAAGCAATGCTATTTAGAATAACTGAAAAATTAACAATGATAAATTTTAAACGAGTTTCTAAAATTGTTAAGGTGAATAAAAGCTTAAATTAGGACGTTTCTTCTATGACAATTTATTTAACAAATTTTTGAGATGACGTCATCAACTTTTTGAATCAATCATAATATTGTTGTCTTTAACAATTCGAAGCAAACAGTATGAGTCGTTTTTCTGAAAAATGTATGACGGAATCATAAACATCAACGCAATTTTAGGGTGTAAGCAGGCACGTCCTGATAACATTCCAAATGTAAAATTTACTTAGAAAAATGTCGTCGTCAATTTTTAGAGAAATCAAATAAATTAACTTCGGTTAGTGTTTTACTTTGCAGGCTGCGATAGTTCTAGTCGATGAAGGACAGACAACAGACCGACAAAAGGAATCGAAAAACCGGCATCTGCGTATTCTAGTTTTTTCTAGAAAAAAATCCACCCATTTGTAATAAACAGTATTATAATACAACCAAGTTTAACAACAAACTTCATGGAACTGAATTTCAAAATAAAAAATATCTGAAAATCATGACATGCATAATATAGATTATTGCGACTTATTTAGCAGATTAATCCTAGTAATCAGTGTCTGATGCATCAGCACTCGGTAAATAGATGATAAAACAATCATCTCATAATTTGAAGATTATACTGGTTAAGAGTTATACGTCTTATTAAAAAATGTATTGCTTAAGAATGAGATTATGATCTCAATGAATAAAAATACATTTGAAGGCAAACATTTCATAATTTTCACGAAATTTTAGAAAGATGTATCGGTCTTCAAGGGAATTATAGTCAATAATAAAGATTAATCAAGTACTTATCTACATTGACGTTATCATCTTTTCACTTTGGACCACCCAAAATTTTGTTTGTATTGTAATTTTTTAGATAAATTGGAAAATTAGTAATGCAGATGGATGGTCAAGTCACAAGTGAAAACAATAATTTGAAATGACGTCATAAATCTCTTAGAGGGGATGAGTAAATGTTATGTTACAAATATTAGCGAAAATCACCCTTTTAGTAGAAAATGTTAGTTAAATAACATCCAAATTAGGAACTACTCACGATGATCAACAAAAAATTCGAACTGGGATTTCCAGAACAATATCATTGTCTTCTTATCAGTCCTATACTAGAGACTTACATGTTTTCTCTGAAGTGGCACAGATCATTATTTCGATGAGTCAGGCATAATAGCGAAAGTTAATTTTATCTGTTTGGAAGCATTTTTGTTAATACATAATCTCTTTGAAGCGAATATGAAAAACTATAAGAAGTTTGTAATAAACTAAAGAAATTTGGTATGGGAAGGTAAATTTACTGCTTTAATTTTAATTTAGATAGCGTGTGAAAAACAACGGTAAACAACGTATAATAGTGCATTAATTTACAAGAAAAAAGTTGGTAGAAAATTTATGATAAAAATAAATGTGTTCAGTGAAATAACACACTTGATAATGAGACACTGCAATGGCAGATTTTTTTCTTTAGAAAAAAATCCACAAAATTTTTCAGTTGAACGTAATAATCACGAAAAAGTAGTTTTCATGTTTCCGTCTATCTGTCGTCTGCCTGTCTGTCTATATCGTTTATTATTAGACCGATGATTTCCGAAACTACCGAATCGATTGCTGTAAAATTTTATACGTATTCTAGGAAAATCGTATAGATGGTACAGCGCTAACGTCATCTCTAAAATTTTTATAGTAAATTTTATTAAATAAGATTCTCCTCCACTTGTGATTTATGAATCCGTTTGAGTTCTTACTCCAGACATCCAGAGTTGTGGAAAAAAATCAAAATTGTATAACAATATGTATTTTGCGTTTTAAGATTTAAACTGTAAAACCGAATGCTCTGAAATCTTGCAAACGTTTTAAGGTTATTCTAATGCAAATCGTTAACCAAAATTTATTCGTTTATCCTCCTCAAAAAATTTGATGATGTCATCTCAAAATTTTGCCTGTCTAAAATATGCAAAATATTCGAATTTATATTTGTGGTTTTTGAAAGACTTGTAAAAAAAAATACACACACATACGCATATTATTTTAACTTATAAGAGTTATCGTACTCGTACTAAAAATAAAATTAGAAAAATTTAATTTAATAATTTTTCATTATTTAAATGTTATGTAATAATATATTCCTACATTTGTGGTTTATGAACCCGCATTTAGTTTTAATCACAATGTTAACAAAAATGTTTGTGCAATATTGGTTCCGTGTTTCATATACCTTATGAATGTAATAGGTTATTCATATACTTTTATCATTTTAAAATTTTGCAATTGTTCTACTAATTTTATAAATACATTTTTTTGATAAAAAATCTTGAAAATTACAGCAGCTGTATGATAATAACATTAAAAGGTAAATTTAATTTAATCAAGTTGTAAGTATTTACTCTTGTAAGAAATAGGGTATGAAAAATTGCTTTTTTGGTAGGAATTCTTAGCCACTAACTAAATGTAAAGACCGAATTTATAAAAATGATGAAAAATTGCATACATCAGCAATTGTCTGAAATAAATAAAAGTTCCGTTTTCCGGAAAATTGTTAATTAATTTTATCCACAAATGATATACAAAAATATTTTTAAAAGTCGACCTTTGAACACAGCCTGATACTAAAATGACCAAAAAATAAATTTAAAAAAATCATTAGGCCCAAATATAGAAGAGATAGATTAATTTTTGTTTTAGATATTTGGCCATTTGGCATTTCACTATTTGGTATTGGGTTCCTGAAATCGATCGTACTTTAATTATTCAAAATAATTTTGGAAGTATTCAGATTTCATTTTATAATGTTACAAAAAATGAAAAATTCTTCAGAATGAAACTGAGAGTGGCTAATTTTTCACCTTTTTTAATCCATCTACCAAAATTGGTATTTTATTATTGTAAGTGAAAGGCATAAGGATTTTTTTTTATTTTTTTCTGAACCTAGACTTGTGAACTTAATAATAGTAGTAGAACTTAGTACACGATATTTAATCACCCTGTATATTGAACTTAAAAGAAATCGTTTCTCTGTTAAACAAAACAACTGGATTTATTGTCGTATTTTCTAGATGAATAAAGTTTAAACTGCTGTAATTTTTTCAAAATTTCCAAAATTGAAATAAATTGGCCCTGTGAGTGAGTCTTGGTAAAGTTAATTTTTATCAAATAAATACATACATATACACATTATTAGTTATCAGAAGATTTCATATAAAAATTAGCCAATCTGTCAAGCAGATTGAGATTTTGAAATTTTGTTTTTTCCGTCGACCGACTCTCTACTTTTATGTTTTCGCGAGCTTTCATAACCTCAACAGTAGGAAGAAATAGGTTTCTCGTTTCCGTCCGTTCGTCTGTCTGTCTGTCTGTTTGTCTCTGTCTGTCTGTCTGTCTGTCCGCCTGTCTGTCCGTCCCGGATTTTTATTAGACAGATGATCTCCGAAAGTACTGGGCCGATTGTTGTCAAATTTTGTATTTATAATAGGAAACGTCCAGATTTTTGAAAAAAAAAAAAATCAAAATTATAAAACAACATCTTACAATTTCATTTTGAATCTGCAAAATCGAATGCTTTGAAATCCTGCAGATATTTTAAAGTTACAATAAGCCTGACACATTTTTAATCAAAATATATTTCCTCATCCCTTCCAAAAAACCGATGACGTCAGCTCAAAATTTTGCCGAATAAATTCTACCCAAAATGTGCAAAATATGATGAGTTTTTTTTAATTAGCATAAAAATGTGTATGTTGATTATTCTTTGTTAATGAATATTTAAAGTAACTCGATAAAAAAATCTATTAGTAGCTGGAAAGAAGTATAGAATTAAATTATGCTAACATAGAAGTAGCATCGTTACAACACACAAACTCCGTAAAGAAAATCACAAATTTGGTTTTCACATGTTTAAATTTATAACGCTAAAACGTACTTTTTTGTAAAATTTTACTAATATTATTTCTCGTAAGTAGTTAATACGGCTACAAGTTGTTTTGTGTGTATTTTGAAAATAAAATAGATGTGATTTTGTAAACGCCATTATTTTTAGCCGATATAAAAGAGCTTGACATTTAGAATATGAAATTGTTGCATCAGATAATTTATAAATTTTTAGAAGGAAAATAAACATAAGTAAAATTAATTAAGATATATTTTATAACACAAATAATTTTATCTTGTATGGTGTCAATAAATATATATTTTATTTTATTTACTAATTATATTACACCGTTTGATATTTATTGGAAAAACCAATGAAGGTGGCATTTAAAAATAAATAACAGTCCTATGTCGAAATATACATACAATAGAGACAAACATTTTTTTTTTTGGTATATAAAGTTGGATCACAAAATCAGTTTTTACTACAAGTAGCTTGTATTTATTACAGATGCAAATGAACAAACAACTAAGAAATAATATTTTGTTTACGCCACAAAAAATGTTTTATCGGTTGCGTTGCTCAGAAACTTGTTACCATGCACACCAAAATATTTGGGAGTGATATTCACAATTTTGGAAATAATGCGTTAAGTGCATACTTCTACAACGATCTTACCGATTCAAGGGTTTATTAAAAGTTTTTCTTAAAAAAATAAGCAAGTGTGATCATTTATTCTTAATTCATTTTAATGAAACAGTTTATTTTCGATACTGGCAGTAATTTTGAAGTACTGTAACTGAATAAATATAAAAGAAATAAATCCAAGCGAACGGGAGGTTTGAGTTTGATATTTTTTCAATACAAATATCTTTGTCTGTTACTGTACTACAGATGTATAATGTGTGTTTTAGGCATGAGTATTCTAAGATCTGGCTCTATTTATGTATAGAAGTCAGATAAAATAGCGTGCACATGCAAGACGATACAACACTAAAGAACATGCCATCACTCACCCGTACAGGCGGCTGTCTCGAAAACTAGCCCTAAACAACGTAAAAAGTCATCAATAATCACACATTTTCAAATCGAAAACAGCCGCTTTTACCAAAACTCCCATAAATTAAAATGATACAATCTGGCGAGTGGCAACGTAAGTGAAACCTTTTAATTACAGATTACCCACAGAATAGAATAATGTTTTATTCATCTCAAAGAGCACAGATTGTTGATTGGATACTTTAATTGTAAAAAGACTCGTGTTTTATACTAATTAATGCGTTGATGGTCTCAAGAAATGAAATTGTTTAAGAGGTTCATTATACTTACCTTCCATTTCCGTGTCTAAACAAGGCAAGGATTTCTTCAAAGGTCTTGTTCTTCGTCTCTGGGACCTTTTTGTATGTGAAAATCCAGAATATAGCTAGGAACACGCTAAATGGCAGGAACGTGTAGTTATCGAGGGCATTCTGAAACAAATCACAAAATAATTAGCGCTACTTTCGATACTGATTAATATAAAATTATAATAACTTGAACGCATGGTTCGATAATTGATAACTAGTCCAAGTTCATCTGTATTAGTCGACAAAATAAGAAAACTGTTAACTATTTATCATATATTAAAATATAACATATCTATTAATTCAAATTAGTGGAGCCCTTTCACGAATCATTAGTATATAATGGGGTTGGTGCCTCATGTCGGTGTCAGTTGTTCAGTACCGACCAAAGTAATAGCAACAACAACAACATGAGATTATTTATTGTAAGTAAATGACACGTAAAAGCGATAATCTCATAATTTTCTCTTCAGACATTATCGATTGCTTCATTTGGAGTGATCGGTGTTCTCTCCCAAGGAGGAGGAGGAGGAGGATATGACGAACATGGAGAAGGACTAGGAGGTGGCGGCTACCACTCTAAAGGCTCCATCATCGGCCTTAGCCGTGGCATTGAAATCGGCCATCATGGCGGCGGTGGTGAAGGAGGCGGCGGAGGCGGAGGCGGCGGCGGCGGCGGCGGTGGCGGAGGAGGAGGTGGTGGAGAACACCACCTGTTCGAAGGAGGATTAGAACTGGGCGGTGGAGGTGGAGGAGGAGGCGGCGGAGGCGGTGGAGGTGGTGGTGGTGGCGGCGGCGGCGGCGGCGGCGAAGGCCATCATCGCCGTGAAGAACATTACGGAATTGGATGGGGAGGATCTCATTTCATTACTCCTGTTGATGTACACCACGAAGAAGCTGTTCATTTGAAGGTTTGTTGTCATTTTTGGGTTCTGTTTTTTTTAATAGTGTTTTAGGCCCACCCTGAATATCACTACGATTATCGTGTAGCTGACCACAAAACTAAGGACTATAAGAGTAAACATGAAGTCCGTGATGGGTACAAAGTAAAGGGTAGATACAGTTTATTAGAACCAGACCACAAAACTGTCCGTGTGGTTGATTATACTTCTGATAAGAAGCAAGGATTCATTGCTAAAGTGTCGTGGAGGAAGCATCATGAATAAATTCTTAAATTGCCATGGTTTTAGCTGTTATTAATTATTGTTAGTTATGTAAAGTCGACCTGTTTTGTTGCGAAATAAACTTTAAAATATCGAATTCCTTTTGTTTTCTTTAATATCTTATTTCAAGAGATCTATCAAATAAAATACATCATGGAAAACATTTAGATGAGAGCCGTGCCATCAAAGTCATGCTGTTTCATTATCTGTTTTATAAGAGCTTGTATACAATCAAATCGAAACTAAGAATCAGTTCTTTTCAATTACCATTAAGTAACATAAATTGGAGCAGTGGTTACTATTTATTATCATGAGAACATAAAAATATTAACTAAATCGATGAAAGTATTCCACTTAAATTAGTAATTAAGTCAGTTCACTTAAATAGCTGCTACTTAAGTCGAGTAAAAATTATTTTCTTCTGATTGATCAGCTGGAAATGGTTACGTGCAATCCTTAATTGCTGCTATAAAACACAAAAGTCGGCCCAATCGTCAAAAAATCCAAAATTCTCTGTATAGGAAAGATTTAATTAGAAATTAATTTGTTTTATTAATTATGATGTTAAGAAATCAAGCTAGAAATTGTTCTTGTCGTTGTATTAATCTTTACGTGTCATCTAATTAAATTATTTCTATTGTAGAATTTTTTTTCTAATACTAATTACAACCAATTTAAAATAGGCATTAGAAATAATAAACACCACATCTGAAAGTAGGTTTATGAGCCCTCTAGTGCTATTGCACACTATTTTTGAAGATTTTTGCATACACAACTAGAACAAATAAAGCGAAAGTTAAAAATCTTTTATTTATGTTTTAGTTATAAACAAGTCGATATCAAAAAAATCATCTATGATACCTATTTAAACATATAATATAAATTTGATTACAGAAATGTCTTTTTATGTCCTAAATCTGTCATAAGTGTCTTAAATCTGTGTTATTTTTGCAGCATTTTGCAGCCAAGTTTTTGTAGAAATTTCATTCAGAGTTGCATACATTATTATCTGTGCCACAAATTTAATCTATTTGGACACCACACATGTTTTGGAATATGAAATAAGGTGTATTTTTACACATTTTAAAAAGAAATTGACACTGAATCACACATGAGTCAAACATTTGCCACACACAGAAAATATCTAGTACACTTTATGTGACCAAAACATGTGGACCGTATAATTGCCGCACGAAAAATTTAGACGGCAGGTTTAAGAGGAATTAGTCCAAATTCAAATGACCCTTTCACAAATCGGTACTATATAGTGTGGTTCCTGCCTCTGTCGTCGTCAGTTTGCTAACACGGACCAAAGCGTTTACAGCAGTAACATGAAATTATTTATTGTAAGTTTGGCTAAATTTAATATCTGGAAACATCAAACACAAAGTGTTTTTCTTAGACTTTAACAATCTTGTCACTTGGAGTGATCGGAGTTCTTTGCCAAGGAGGAGGGCACGAAGAACGCCGCGAAGGACATTACGGAATAGGATGGGGAGGATCCCATTTCATTACTCCTGTGGATGTTCATCATGAAGAAGTTATTCATTTAAAGGTGAGTGAGTCTCGATTGTACTATTTTTCTTAAATTTGGTCATCTAGGCTCATCCTGAATATCACTATGACTACCGTGTTGCTGATCATAAAACGAAGGATTATAAAGACAAGCATGAAGTTCGTGATGGGTACAAAGTAAAGGGTAGATACAGTTTATTAGAACCTGACCACAAAACTGTCCGTGTGGTTGATTACACTTCTGATAAAAAGCAAGGATTTGTGGCTAAAGTCTCATGGAGGAAACACGATTAATTGTTTAGTTGAACGGGCTAGAGATCAAAATAATGTAATTGTTAATATTTAGTTGTTGAAGTCAGATTGTTTTGTTGCGAAATAAAGTTTAAAATCATAGTTTTATTTAATTTGTACTTTCAGAGCAACAGAAGAAAATGTTTGAAAGTTTGACAGGTAAGGATATAGAACGATTCTGTTTACGCTCACTAAAGCATATTTATATTTCCTGTGACCTTTATTTTCAGTCAAAAACCGATGGATGTTGACGTTTTAGAGGCGATCTTGAAAGAGTTTTCTAAAGACAATATGGTCAATATGAGGTAAGATTATTGAATGAGCAAAAAAGCGACCAAAGGTAGCCATGTTTTTTTTGAAGATTTATCTTTGATAGAATTTTCGTCTTGTCATATGACCGTCAATTTGAAAACTTGAGGTTAAAATGCAACGATCAAAGACAAATCTTCAAAAATCCATGGCTGCCTTTGATTGTGTTTTTATTGCTCTTTCGGTAGAAGGGGATAACTAAACATATTAACAGAAGGAGTTCGCAAACATTATAAAATTTGTGGGATGATGTGTGCATTCCAACAACTAAAGCCGTTCAGAAGCATATGTGAGCCACAAAAGTGGCGTTAATAAATAAATACATTGACTGGTTTTTCTAGAAAATTTGTAAAGCCAGTTTCTAAAAAAAACCGTTATTTTATTAAGAGTCAACATCCTTCGCCTAAAAAGCACTACATATATCTCTTGCAGATCGATGTACATATTTTCGAGATGATTTTATTAGATTAGATACATAAATCCCCTATGATACGTATTTTAACAAATAAATCAAGTTTGTTTACAAAAATCCCTTTTTATTATCCTAAATCTACAATAAATAACTGTATTAAATCCGTAACATGTTTGTTTACTACTGTGAATATAACTTAATAAAATTCAATTTGCAGCAAAGTTTTTATAGAAAACTCACAAGGGTTCCATGCTTTAATTATTATGGTAGTTGATCGATACATCTATCATTTGCAGGTTGATGTACTTTTCAGCATAGATGAATTTGTTACATAACTTAATTTTGTGTACGCAACACTAATTATAATGAAATAATAGACAAAAAACTTGGCTTGTGCGTTTATTTCTTTTGAGAAATCCCCTGTAAGCAACTCAAATTATTTATGTTAGCATATTAACGAAACACAAGCGACACTGCAATTCCCCAAGCGAGTTTAACAGCTCATAGAAACTGAAATTGCAGGTTTCCATTTTCACTTGTTGGGGTTTAAAGTTGATAGGCAGTTGCTTTGGAATTTTAGATTAAAACAATAACCAAAATTTCCCTATTCACCCACAAACGTGTTGACGTCATCTCACACTTTTGTTAAATAAACTAAATCTTATTTATAATGGGCAATACAATCTTGTAATTTATTAAAAAACTACAAAACGAATATTTGCGATATTTTGTTAAAAAACAAGATTGAGAGAAATTAGATGAAAATAACTAAATAACACATATTATATTTGCGTAAGGTCAGTAGCTACTTCTTATGGGGTTTTCAGTACATTTCAGAATGTATTGAATATCTTCACTGTTAACAGACTTATATTAACCTGTCCATAACTTTCTCTAGGGAGTTTTGTTAAAAGCAGTTTATCATCATCTTTTTTTTTAATTTCAAAACGCGGTTTTCACCACTGTTTTCAGCTTAACAACACTCCATAAAATCTATTCAGAAATAAGATACAATAAAAGCAGATTGTGCCTAAGAGCTGCTTTTTACTGTATCTTATTTAGGAGAAAAAAGTTGACTTGTTTCCTCTAAGATTTTTAATTTAGTAAGCTAAAAACAGTGGTGAAAACAGCGTTCCAAAATTTATATAGTTAATTGAGATATTGGTTTTTAAAGACATGTGATGCAAAAACAAAATTAAAAAAAGGTGATGTGAAACAGTTTTTGAAAAACTTATCTAATATAGAGAAAGTTGTGGAAATGTTGTGTCTAGAATTTTATAATACAGTATATAAGTCTGTTAATAATGGAGAAATGGGGTTTATAATAGTTTCAGAATGTAATAAGAGGTAAAAGTAACTTCTCTTAATAATTTTTTGAGATGGCATCATCATTTTCTTGTAAGAAATAAACAAATTTAGTTAAAGTTTTGCCATCATTGCATCAACGCTAGAGTTACTCTGAATTTAAAGAAATTTCTTTCGTATTTTTTAACAGAAATTATAAAATTTAATTGTGCAAATCGTTACAAATAAAGTTAAATATTTAAAGTTAATGGTTAAATATATTATTTGTTAGAACAAACTGTACAATAAATACATTTTTGTTGTTATTTTACTGTTTATAATTTCATTGTAATCGGCAGACAGACGACAGACAGATGGCCGACAAATGGACGTAAGTAGGAACTCTGTTTTATATTCGAAGAACTGTAAATGCTGAATCGTCAAAATAACCCTTATTTACTTTATAATATGTTATTTTATATTAGTTTGGTATAGTAAAATTATTGGAATTTTTCTGAAATATAATGTCAGATGAAACGGAAAATTTAACTGTGGAGTGGTTTTCTAACAGGTAGAGCGTTTAAAGAACTAACTTTTTAGACCATGAAACATTTTTATATCGCGTGATTTTTTTAAATTTTATGACGCTTACACCAACCGTTTGAATTTCATTGTTGATGTAAATGTCATGGCTAACTAGAGCATAATTTTAAAAAATCACTTGGTATAGAGCCACGTAAGAAAATTTTTATATGAGATTGAGTAGTGGACCCCTTCTAATTAAAAAAAAGACCCGATTTGATGATCTCAATAGGAACATATGAAATATCCAGATTAGAATTTTTCACTGAAATTAGGCACTTCAAAACATTTTTACTTCCCCTAAAGAAGTATTGTAATCGAGTCCATCGGGTGACTCGCTATTTTTAGGTTTTCTCGACGTTTCATGACCCGTAGAATACGAAAACACAAGTCTTTCTTTTCCATCTGTCTGCCGTCTGTCCGCTTCTGTGTTGATTTTTATTAGACAGATAATCTTCTAAACTACCGGACCGTATAGATAAAATGTTGATAAAAATTTGTTTGATTATCCCCACTACCAATGCGATGACGTCATCACCAAAATTTACAGTGGTAAATATTATTTAAAGTTTATACAATAACATACTCCTTCAATTGTAGATTATGAATCCGTGTTGAGTTTTTGGCGTAGGTCTTCAGATTTTTGTAAAAAAAAAAATAAAATTGTATAACAACAATTTACAATTTAACTTTGAAATTGCAAAACCGAATGTTCTGAAACCTTGCAAATGTTTTAAGTTTATCGGAAACATGGTAAACCTTTGATTATAGTTTATCCGTTTACCACCCCCTAAAAACTAATGACGTCATCTCAATATTTTGCCATATAAATGCGACCTAAAATATGCAAAATATATACTGGCTGACTCAAAAAAATTAATGAATGAGTCAACTTATTTTATTGATCAAATCAGAAATGCAAAACCGCATGCTTTGAAATATTGTAGGCGTTTTAAAATTATCGTAAGCATGGTAGATTTGTAATCAAAATATATCTGTTCATCCGCTTTAAAAAATTGATGACACCATCTCAAAATTTTGCCGAACAAATCCTTCTGAAAGTGTTGTGATTTGTCATTGCATTCATATTTTTTAGAATTGATTATACACGGCGACTCAAAAAAATTAATGAATTGAGACAGTTTATTTTGTTGATGAAATCAGAAACTGCTAAACCGAATGCTTTGAAATCTTGCAAACCTTTTAGTGTTATATATAATAAGGAATTCCATTTTCCTTAAAAATTGGGAATTATCTGTCCATACTGATATACGTGTACTTGCAAAAATGTTGGCGTTATCATAAAATTTTGTAAAGGAAAAAATCAATTGAATCATACGCGCAGCAAGCTTCTTTACATTTACTTTAACATTACCATATATAGATATCTTTATTTTAACTTATAGGGGTTGTCATAAAAAAATTAAAATTCGTAAAATCAACTTTTGTAATTTTTCGAAAAGGCTGGATATCATGTTTTATTGTATTTCAGGGGCGAGGGAAGTGCTGTTGAAATAATCTTCGACCAATTTTTGATCTGAAGAATATTTTACTATATTTTGGATGCGAAATAAATTATTCTGTTATTTAATAATATTATGCTAGAGAAAATACATAAAAATTTCTAAAAACCAAGACTGTTGTAGCTGTCACGAAAACTTCAAAATTGCTCTTAAAAACAATGTATAACAAAGAAAATGCGTAGGAAGTTTGCATGTGTGATAATTAGATTTTTTTTTTCTATTTCGAACACAAGATTTACTAAGTACTTAGCTCCTAAAAGACCCCGTCAGAAGGCGAATCTCTTTTTAAAATCGCTGATATTTGTTGCTTCATTTTCGGGTGTTGTCGTTAATGGGAAAAATAACAATCAGTGAGAAAATTAACAGTCAGTGGGAAAATTAACAATTAGTGGGAAAAACGATCGTCTCTATCACTCTTCGCACTAATTAAGAAATCAGTTATTTTCCAGCAGTTTTTACAGTGACGTAGAAAAATGATTTTATCTTCTTATCCGATACAAAGTTATTGTAAATTACAAACGAAAGTAAGTGTTTCTGAAACGTAAGAACAATAACAAATAATATATGAAGAAATTGTTCCGTGATGTAAATTTTGCACGATTTTTGTTTCATAACTCGCCCATTAAACAAATTGTACAAAATCATATATTTCCCAGTCTTGCTGAAATACAATGACATGAATCAGTTTCTAACTCAATTTGTAGTCGTTTCGAATAAAACACCGTACTTAGTGTATGTTAAACCTGAAAAAATGCATTTATTTTGCACAATACATTTGAATGCACTAAAGTCTAATTTTGCCCTTTTCCGGATATTGCCTCAAGTCCTTCGACCAGAACACATTATGTTCGAACAAGTCATTAATAGCAGCAATAGCGTGATCTACACAAACTCATAGCTCGTGCTTACGAATTGCCACACCGGAATGCTATTCCCTTTTACCAATCTTTCACGCAGGAACGAAAAACGACAAAAAGACTCAAAGTAAATATGCAGCCAACGGGAACGAGTGCAACACATAAGCCCAATTAATCGTCGTTGTCATCATTTCACTCTTACACGTGTTCCAGTTATTTCTGTTAATGTCCTGCTTCTGGTGGAACTGAAAGCTTTGGTTTCAATTTTTGACCTCGTGTTGCAACAGTCATTGTCTTTCTCCAAAGTTTCAGCAACGGTAATCTCATGAACAGAACAGCGTTTTGCTAATTAAGTCCTTGTTTCAAACTCTGCATTAAATGTTTAGTAAAGGCCGGTATATCTTGTTTAATCATAGTTTCGAAATTATATTGAATGCTGGTGGAGCCTGTCTTGGCTGCTGAGAGCGTAATTATGTCACATTATGGCACTTCCTGGCAGAATTCATGCTCTAGTATGCAAACAGCGCCGTTTTGGATGCAGTGAAGGTGCAATTCGATTATAGATAATGCAGGATTGCATTAATAACGTCCTGACTCGATTACTGCATGTCTATTATACGTCTAGCTGTGTTCTGTTGCAACGAGAAACCTCAAACCGCTTCCTTAACAGCGCTTTAATCAGTGGGATTATGTTCGGGTTTATTTGCCTCTTGAAGTTTGCGTTACTGGATCATTTATCTTGTATTTTCGTTTTTCGTCAATATTTATTATTTGCTAAGCGATTACATGTGGCGTTTTACATAATAATTAAATGCAACGAAGTGCGTATACGAACCTTTTATGTTAATAGAGAAATGGCTAATGCGTAGATCAACCAGAGCAGAACGTTTCTTCCAGACACGTAGTTAACGTATCACTCAACATTGTTACAAAGGAGTTGTGTAATATTATCTGAGTTTTGAGAATGTGCAAATTGATCATTATGGTAAAGTTTACGAGTTGGAAATCCAATTGTAATTACCGTGTGATGACATTGTGGATGTAATTTGTTACTTGAGAACTTGCTCCAATTACGACTTTTTAAAAACGAATTTGTTCAATTATGAGATAATTTTATTGTTCGCACGGACTTTATTCTTGTTTAGCACATGTTAAACATTAAATATTATCTCACGCTAGTATTGACCCATAGACAAATAAAGGTTCGAAGAATGTTACTATTGTGTACTGTATTGTACAAATAAGATAGAAAAAGACATTTTATTTATAGCAAATTATTTGTTCCTTAATTTTAATTTATTACAATGCGCCCAATAAACACAAAATGTAAAAAGAAATCCATAAAAAAATCTAAAGTTGTGAGAAAACATTAAGACTTTGATACATTTTCAGAGAGAATAAATTTCATAATGATATTTACTGTTTCCATAAATAACGGTGATAATGTATTAATAGTGCAAATTTTTTCGGAACTTTCTTAAGTTCAGAAGCACCACCGATGTCACCTATATTTCAAAGAGTGTTTTTAGGCGCAAATATATTTGTGAATTAATTAATTTAGAGGTTGGGATAAATACGGTAATCTTGAGAATGTAACGGTAATTTAACGTAAGGCTTTAAGGGAATTAAGCTGCCATAAGAATGAATCAGTTTATAAACTATTTTTTTTTAGATTGACTATATAAAAATTTCCTGCGAAAAATAAACTTATATGTTATATACCTGAATCAAAGCAGTACCAGATCTCGGGTTGTACTTTTTGTTAGATATTTATTTAATATTTTTTTTGAGATGACGACAACAACTTTTTAGGGGGAATAAATAAATATATAAATTTTAGTTTTACATAAAAAAGCGTGCTACGCGTACGTTTCAAATGAGTTTTTCCTTTACAAAATTTTGAGATGACATCATCAATTTTTTTGAGTCACCTTGTGTAAGCAATTCTAAATTTGTATTATCTATATATATTGTTTCTATTTTATTCAGATTATCACAAAAGAAATTGGTCGAAGTACAGTCTAACAAATCCTGCTTTTTTGAAAAATTGTAAAGTGTGATTTTGCGATTTTTGCTTTGTGATAACCTCGATAAAACAGGGGCTAGTATCGTAAATTCCAAGAAGGCGTGGTCCGCACACGTACTGACAATATGAAATATATTTAGTGCTATTATCAGTGTACATACATAACTTAGATTATTTATATTTATACATCGAAAAAATGTCAGGTTTAGCACGTAGTAATTTGTTTAATTTGAATGAGTTGGTTTCCTCAAAACAGAGGACTAAACTTGTTAATTACCCCACAATGTTCAGAATATTATTATTATAATATATATTTATCGTTATTAAAATAAATAAAGACTACGTATTCAAACAGTTTAGAGAAAATGGGGTGGCTCGTTTTTAATTTGATCAATAAAAAAAGTGACCAAGTTCGACATCGAAAAGTGCGACCGCAGGTCCACGTGCCACTTCATGAAGATGCAATTATGCTGTGTTAATTTTTTTAAGAAAACCTGAAGTACAGAAGAGCCCTTCTGTTGCATTTAAACCTCAAGTATAGGAGTATATTATACTATAACATTTAAATCATTTTAATATAGAATCTTTTAAGATGACGTCGTTAAATCGTTGTTGAGGATGATTAGCGAAATTTTGGGTAGTATTTTACAATCTAGATGACATTCCTAATATACATACAAAATTTGACAACAATTGGTCCAGTAGTTTCGGAGAATATCTGTCTAATATGTATAAATTGACGCAGACACTTCGGGAAGTAAAAATATGATTGCAATGTTAAATCACGACTATAGTCATCATATTTGCATATTTTAGATATGATCGATTCGGCAAAATTTTGAAATTTTTGGGGGTGTGGGATAAATAAATATATTTCAATTAAGAATTTCCATGCTTGCGGTAACCTTAAAACTTCTGTAAGATTTCAAATAATTCGATTTGGCAGTTTCAAAATAAAATTGCAAATTGTGTATACAATTTTGATTTTTTTTCTAAAAAATCTTACGCTCGGGAAGTAAAAACACGACCATAGGGAACCAAGACGAGAAAACTTAATTTGCGTACTTTACTAGTTTGTAACGTCAACAAACTAAAAAAATTTTCTCAAAAAGTAGAACCTATATTTTATCTAATATTTATCGAATCAATGCAAGCTGTTTTTCAACCATAAAGCTTTGGTGTTTTACATTAGGTTAGATCTTATTTTCTAATATTTTCTTGTTTGGTAACGTTTTAAATGTTGGAAATATTATTTAAAGGTAATGATTTGCAAATTTGGCAAGTTATATGACCAAACTTTGAAAATGAACATGTCTTTGAGAGAACGGAAGCCATCCTAGAATCGAAAATGGGCAACAAAAAATTGGATGCCATTACTGTCAACAGAAGTGTTTTATTTTTGATGAGGTGCAGTATTTACGAGAAATACTTTAATTTAATAAAATTTTAGAAATATAATTCTCTAAGATTTTACCACCTACGCCCAAGCAATAGCCTTCAGTACCTAGGACTACTATACAGTGTTAGAGTATCGAAGTCTGGGATGATGGAGACATATTTGAATCTATTTAGAAAACTCAGACTGCTCAAACCTCTCGGAAAAAAGTACTTCTACGCCATCATATTATCGATTACCTGAACAACAACACTGTTTATCCAAATTGATAAAGTGGAAAATTTACCAAGAATGTTTAAGGTTACGTAATTTGGGTCATTGTCCGACGTTTTTGCGATGCGAATCTTCTAAATTTGCCGTAATATTTATCATATCAAATGAAATTATCATAACACATTGATCTTTCACTCAGCTACATAATATTTTGGAATTTATTTCTGTATATGTATTATTATTAATTGTTTAATTTAGTAGGATTTAGTCAAGATATTCAGATTTATTTTACAGCTTTTAAGTGTCTTTATCTGTTTGCTTTAATTAGCACAAAGAAAAAATAAAAATAAAATAATAAAAGCAATAGATGCAAGTGTATAGTTGCAAGATATAAGCATCCCCAAGTATTTGCTTTATGTTTGGTACATATAGGTATTGGATCAGATAAGAAAAGTGATTTTAAAAATAAACAAGACGGGGTTTTTCCTCTTGTCGCAAATGTTGCATCTGATCGCTAAAAATGATATAATAAGGGGCATTTTTTTATTTTCGCGTTTGTCTTAAAGCACACAAAAAACTTCAAGTAATCGGTTCACCAGTTTTGGAAACAAGACAGCACAAACAAGCCACGATAGGCAGGCAAATGGAAAGGGGAAAGTTGAATTTATATAATAAACCTATAAATAGATCCGTTGTCTTAGTTTAGAAAATTGACTATATCACCTTTGTTTAGTTGATAACATTTTTTTTAAGCAAAATGCATCGTCTTGACTCGTATTCAAAGCTACATTTTTCGATTTCATTTAAAGAGGCGTTTCAGAAAACTTGAATGTCATTTTTCCTGTCAATCTTGGACCACTATCGGACCAGTATCACCTATATATAGAAAAATTTAGGGCGATCTAAACCAGACTCGAAACGTCAGTATCGTCAGCGCATTCGACCAACCTACAGTCGAAACAAATTTCCGTAGGTACATAATCGTTTGTTGACTATTATCGAAGATTCTACAGTGCAAGGTAATTCTTTTATCTTATATAATTTTATTTGAAACGACCAAGCGTTACGATTCTAGACAACATCATGAGCGATTGTTCAGTGCAGACAAACACAAACACCCAAGAAAATAAGAAAGATGTGACGGACAACTCCACCGCTTCGAATACTAAGCCGAAGAACGCTCCAGAGCAGCCGAAGACAAACCGGAAGAAACGGCACATATTTGATGTTCCAGACAGAACGGATATAGGGCCGAATGGACGAAAAGTAGAAGAATTTATTTAAAAATCAAGTATTTATACTAAATCTATGATGTGTTCTACATTACAGTACTAATAAGCATGTACGTCCGAAAGTATTGTAGGTTACTATAAACATTTAACTGTAACATGTAACTGTAACTGTTAATTGCCACATGAAACTTGAAATACATGTTTTAAAATATTTGTTGGGGAGTTTAATTTTTTATTATTAAAGTTTCAATGAACAACTAGAGGTATAAATACACTTCATTTGAAAGATAAATTTCGTTCGATAGTTTCATTCGAAAGGTTCTACTGCCTGTCCATCAAAATCTACGTTGGTTCTATCAGGTAGATCAAAGGTTTGTCGTTTTCTTCTGCTTAATTGAGTACGGTTTTCTTCTGAACTGGCCTCTGTCGGGTTAGTATTGCTTCAGAAAATGCCGTTTCTCCACCGTTGTCTCACGTCGTAATAACAACTTCTACCTGAGTTTTCGATTAACAGTTTTTACCGACTAAAACTCCCAATTACAAAGGTGACTCAAAATACGCAGGTTGAAGGATTTCAACTTTGTTAAATATTTTCGTTTAAGAAGGTCTGCAATTTTAAGTTAATAATAGCATTTTCCGCGGTGTTGAATGTCGCCGAAAAATAATAAACGTTTTTTTGCGGCGTTTTAAAAGGAAGATAAGTTTTATTGTATCGTAAATATTTAAAAGACGAACTGTTTTTAAGGCAAGAATGCGTAGGAATTTAGTCACTAGGTTGCTAAACGTCCAAAAGCCCGATTATCATGAGTGATAATTCTGAAAACTGTGACACGAATACACCGTCTAATGAAGCCAAAGATCAAAAATCTCCTACCAAAAAGGTGCTAGTTCGGAAAGAAAGGCAAATATTTGATAGACCGGACAGACCCAACGCTGGACTGAGCCGCAATGAAGAAACAGAATTTACGTAAACGTGTTTACTTTTTGTACTAATTGTAAGCACTAATGCCACAAATAAATGGTTAAATGGTTCACTTTGTTTAATTTTTGGTAATCTCAACACTTTTTTCAGTGATAATTGACTGAATTTAAGTTGGCTGTGTATTTCTGTTGAAAAATTAAGTTCGTCCCGTAATTTTATTCGAATGATTCTACTGTATTTTCGTCAAAATCAATGTTGGTTCTGTCAGGTACATCAGAGCCATGTCATTTTCATCTGTTTCTTAATCTGATTAGTAACAGCTAAATTCAAAATATAGACTTTTATTCAACAAAATAAGATTCTACGAATACAATTTGATCAGTAACAATAATTAAATTTCTATTAACAAGAAGTTGGAAATGTTAACAATAATAATAAGTATATATTTATTAAATGTTTAAAGCATATAACCAACGGGAAAACATGACCTCTTAGCAATAATAACAAGCTTTAACTTCAAATGTTTGTTGAGAAAACATGAAAGTGGCGATTCGTCCGATGCATTCGATTACTATACTTCCTTAGCTTACGTTCAGGAAGAAAAAGAAAAATGTTATAAAATTTTCTTTAAATTCAATAGGAGTGGACATGTAGTTAATATATATAATAACCTATCAAATGATTGCAAATATGAAACAAGTATCAAAATATTTAAATTTAAATGGAAATGTCACTTAGTCAAAATGTATTTGTATTCTACAGGGCTTTTATTAATGTTTGATATTTAGTAGGCCATTGATTTTTAAAAATCAGTTGGTTAATTTCTGCGCATTACTGCGCACTCCATAATTTAAAATTCTAGTACGTCAAATACCACAACCTTAGATTTTGTCATCAAACCTCAAATTTCAAATTAAACTTGGCAATTAGTCAATAGTACCAACTTACGAAAAAAATTGCAAATTCTAGAAGTAGTATTTTTAGGATAGCCATCAGTACGTAGGACTACCCAAAAGTGTTAGAGTTTCGAAGTCTGAGATGATGGAGACATATTTGAATCTGTTTGGGAGATTCAGACTGCTCACACCTCTTACGAAAAAAGTACTTCAACGCCAACATATTACCGATTATCTAAACAACAAAACTGTTTGCTCAGATTCACAAAGTGGAAATTTTTAAAGTTACGTAAGTTCGGTCATTGTCCAACATTTTTGCCATGCGCATCTTCTAGAATTACTGTAATATTTATCATAGCAAATGAAATTATCATAACCCATTGGTCTTTAACTCAGCTACATAATATTTTGGAATTTATTTCTGCATATTTATTATTATTATTTTAATTTGGAAAATGAAGATGAATTAATCGTCCTAGAAAAGACTGTTTAATTTCCTAGGATTTAGTCATGATAATCACATTTATTTTTCAGTTTTTACGTGTACTTATGTTTTCTTTAATATCCAAAAACAAGAACAAAAATAAACTAGTAAGTGCAATAGATAAAGTACATAAAGTAACCTCATTTGACATACACCTTGTGCAACTTTTATGACTTAAGCGGCATAAGCCAAAGCACCCTTCTAAGTCAAACTTTCTATTGTATTACTTAATTCAGTTCACAGCTCCATTATACTAACAATGGACAGTAATAATCCTTGCGGTTCGGGTCCACAAAGCTTACAATAGCCAGTTTGACTTATAAGGGTGGTTTGGCCATAAAAGTTTTACAAGACGTGTGTCAAGTGAGGTTACAGTAGTCTTGTATAATTGTTAGATATAAGCATCCTCAAGTATTTGCTTTATGTCTTGTACATATAGGTATCGGGTGAGATAAGAAAAGTGATTTTAGAAATAAACAAGACGGGGTTTTTCCTTTTATCGTAAATATTGTATCTGGTCGCTGAGAATAATATATAATGACTGGTATTTTATTATTTTCGCATTTGTCTTAAAGCACGCACAAACTTCCAAGTAATGGCAATGCCATCTTTGTTCAATTTGAAATTTCTTGATATAATTTTTTTTTCGGTTTCATTTAAAGAGCCACATTAGAAAACCCGAATGTCATTTTACCTACCGAACTTGTACTACTATCGGACGAGTATCACCTATATCTAGAGCAATTTAGGTCGCCCTAGGCCAGACCCGGAACGTTAGTATCCTCAGCGCATTCGACCAAGCTACAGTCAAAACAAACATTTCAGAACACAATCGTTTGAAGATTTTTGAGTGTAAGGTAGTTATTTTATTTTTTTACCTTTTTTTTTGAAACGAGCTGCATTAAACGAACAAGCATTACGATAGCAGACAGCATCATGAGCGATTCTTCAGAGCAGACAAACGCAGGGCCCTAAGAAAATAAGAAAGATGTGACCGACAAATACACCGTTTTGGAGACTAGGCCGAAGAAGGCCTCAGAGCAGCCGGCTCTAGACCGGAAGACACGGCGGCACATATTTGATGTTCCACCCAAAGAGAGTTGCTTCGGGTTGGGTGGAGAAGAAACAGGAGAGTTTAATTAAGATCAAGTATTTATACTAAATCAGTGTGTTCTACATTATAATCATTATACTTTTTTATTGCATTAATAAGCATGTACGTGTGAAAGTATTGTATTTTACTATAAACATTTGTACAAATACATATATATGTAACTGTTAATTGCCACACGAAACTTGAAATACATGTTTTAAAATTTGCTGTGGAGTATATTTTTCTATTATCAAAGTTTCAACGAACAACTAAAGGTATAAATCACCATGCACTTCACTTGCGTTTCAAATATTGATAATTCTGTTTGAACTCATTCGTATTGTTGTTGAAAGATAAATTTCATTCCATAGTTTCATTCGAAAGGTTCTACTGCCTGTCCATCAAAATTGACATTGGTTCTATCAGATACATCAAAAGTTTCCTTCTACTTAATTCAGTACGGTTTTCTTCTGAACTGGTCTTTCGCATGAGTTTTCGATTTAACAGTTTTTTACTGACTAAAATGCCTATTACAAAGGTGAGTCAGAATAGGCAGGTTGAAGAATTTCAACTTCGTTAAATATTTTCGTTGGAGGAGGTCTGGAATTTTAAGGTAATAATAGCATTTTCCGCGGTGTTGAATGTCGCCGAAAAGTAATAAACTTTTTTTGCGGCGTTTTTAAAGAAAGATAAGTTTTATTGTATCGTAAATATTTAAAAGACGAACTTTTTTTAAGGCAAAAATGCTTAGAAATCTAGTCACTATGTTGCCAAACGTCCAAAAGGCCGATTATCATGAGTGATAATTCTGAAAAGTGTGACACGAATACACTGTCTAATGAAGCCGAAGATCAAAAATCTCCTACCAAAAAGGTGCTAGTTCGGAAAGAAAGGCAAATATTTGATAGACCGGACAGACCCAACGCTGGACTGAGTGGCAATGAAGAAACAGAATTTACGTAAACGTGTTTAATTTTTGTACTATTTGTAAGCACTAATGCCACAAATAAATGGTTAAACGATTCATTTTGTTTCATTTTTGCTAATCGAAGCACTTTTTTCAGTGATAATTCATTGAACTCAGGTTGGTTGTGTATTCCTGTTGAAAGATAAAGTTCGTCCCGTAGTTTTATTCGAATGTTTCTACGGTAAAATCAAAATGTTTGTTGGTTCCGTCATGGAAAACATGGCCTCTTAGCAATAATAACAAGCTTTAACTTCAAGTGTTTATTTACAGATCGGAAGAATGTCACGTAGAAATTTGTTTAATTTGTTTCTATAATTTTAAAATAGAATTCTTTGAAATTACGTCATCATATTGTTGGTGGGGATGATTAACCAAATTGCATGGCCTACTATATATTAGATAAGAAAATTTATGTGATGGAATATTTTTCTGTAGGATATAATAAAGTTCCAAACATGATCGTTTCTAAACTGAAATTCTGTAGGCAATTATGTTTAGTTTTTTAAATATAAAATATAAATACTTCAAAAAATATCTGTGATTTACTTTTAATGTGAACATGGTTAGCAAAATCAGACATAAGGTTTGAGTGATTTTGAACATACTCTGGATTTTATTACAGCAGAATGAGTCATTCTCTTTTAAATTTTGTAAGTTGCGTATAATAATAGCATATAGCCAGCTGTACAAAAATTAGATACAATTACATCCTAGAATCGAAAATGGGCAACAAAAAAACTGGATGTCATAACTGTCAACAGAAATGTTTAATTTTTGAAAAGGTACAGTATTTACGAGAAATTGTTGAAGAGAAAATCCTATTTAATATTTTTTTGTGTAAGAGTTTTTTTCTACGTAAATCGACATACTAAACTAATTTCAGAAAATTTTAGAAGTAGTATTTTCTAAGATTTTACCACCTACGGCAACCAACAGCCATCAGCATGTAGGACTACCCTATGGTGTTAGAGTTTCGAAGTCTGAGGTGATGGAGACATATTTGAATCTGTTTGGAAAATTCAGAGTGCTCACACCTCTTAGAAAAATGTACTTTCACGCCAACATATTATCGATTATTTAGACAACAAAACTGTTTGCTCAGATTGATAAAGCGGAAAATTTACCAAGAATTTTTAAAGTTGTGTAACTTGGGTCATTGTTCAACGTTTTTGCGATGCGAACCTCCTAAAAGTGCTGTAATATTTAACATGACTTCATAACAAATGAAATTGTCACAATCCATGGATGTTAAGTCAAAACTTTAATGTTTTGTAATTTATTATTATTATTATTTTAAAAACGGATATGAATTAGTCTTAAGATTGTTTAATTTGCAAGGATTTAGTCAGGCTATTCAGATTTATTTTAGAGCTTTTACAAGTGTTTATCTGTTTTCTTTAATTAGCAAAAAAAAAGATACTAATAAGTGCAATAGATAAATTTATGTATTTTGTCTGTATAAGTGTAAGATATAAGCATCCTCAAGTATTTGCTTTATGTTTTGTACATATAGGTATCGGGTGTGAGTGAGATAAGAAAAGTGATTTTAAAAACAAACAAGGGTTTTTTCTCTTATTGCAAATATTGCATCTGATCGCTAGAAATGATATGAGTAGCATTTTATTATTTTCGCGTTGGTCTTAAAGCACACAGAAAACTCCAAATAATCGGTTCGGTGGACATTGTTCAATTTGAAATTTCTCAACAACATTTTTTTTAAACACACATCGTCTTGACTCGTAATCAAAGCCACATTTTTCGGTTTCATTTAAAGACCCACATTAGAAAACTTGAATGTCATTTTACCTGCCGACCTTGGACCACTATCGGACCAGTATCACCTATCTAGAGAAATTTAGGGCGCCCTAAACCAAACCCGGAACGTCAGTATCATCAGCGCATTCGACCAAGCTACAGTCAAAACAAACATTTCAGTATACAATCGTTTGTTGATAGTGAAGATTATAGAGTGCAAGGTAATTATTTATCTTATCTATTTTTTTTAAAACGACCAGTATTAAACGAACAAACATTACGACAGCAGACATCATCATGAGCGATTCTTCAGAGCAAACGAACACAAACAATCAAGAAAATAAGGAAGATGTGACCGACAACGGTTCAAACACTAACCCGGAGGACGCCTCAGAGCAGCCGGCGCTAAACCGGAAGAAGCGGCACATATTTGATGTTCCAGTCAGACCGAATGTGGGACTGGATGGAGAAGAAACAGAAGAATTTAATTAAAGATCAAGTATTTATACTAAATCTGTGTGTTCTACATTATAACTATTATATTTTTTTATTGCGTTAATAAGCATGTACGTGTGAAAGTATTGTATTTTACTATAAACATTTGTACAACTACATATATATGTAACTGTAATTGTTAATTGCCACATGAAACTTGAAATACATGTTTTAAAATATTTGTTGTGGAGTATAATTTTTTATTATCAAAGATTCAACGAACAGAACTAGACTTATAAATCACTACGCACTTCACTTGTGTTTCAGATATTGATAATTCTGTCTAAACTGATTCATATTCCTCTTGACCGATAAATTTCATTCTATAGTTTCATTCGAAAGGTTCTACTGCCTGTCCTTCCAAATCTACGTTGGTTCTATCAGGTACATCAAAGGTTTGTCGTTTTCTCCTGCTTAATTGAGTACGGTTTTCCTCTAAACCGGCCTCTGTCGGGTCAGTATTGGCTTCAGAAAATGCAGTTTCTTCACCGTTGTCACACATCGTAATAACCTTCCACCTGAGTTTTCGATTTAACAGTTTTTTACCGACTAAAACCCCTTATTACAAAGGTGAGTAAATATAGGCAGGTTGAAGAATTTCAGTTTCGTTAAATATTTACGTTGGAGGAGGTCTGGAATTTTAAGTTAATAATAGTATTTTCCGCGGTGTTGAATGTCCCTGAAAAGTAATAAATTTTTTTTGCGGCGTTTTTAAAGGAAGATAAGTTTTATTGGATGGTAAATATTTAAAAGGCGAACTCTTTTTAAGGTAAGAATGCGTAGGAATCTAGTCAGTAGGCTGCCAAACGTCGAAAAGGCCGGTCATCATGAGTGATAATTCTGAGACCTGTGACACGAATGTACCGTCTAATGAAGCCGAAGATCAAAAATCTTCTACCAAAAAGGTGCTAATTCGGAAAAAGAGGCAAATATTTGATGGACCGGATAGACCCAACGCTGGATTGGGAGGCAATGAAGAAACAGAATTTACGTAAACGTGTTTATTTCTTGTACTAATTGTAACCGCAGTGTATGCACTAATGCCACAAATAAATGGTTAAACGATTCACTTTGTTTCATTTTTGTAAATCTAACCACTTTTTGGGCGATTATTGTCTTTCGATGGAAGTATAATGACCGGATTTTTCTGTGAACACACCAATGCACAATCAGTTGTATTTTAAATAGTGATAATTCACTGAACTCAAGTTGGCTGCAAAAATCTGTTGAAAGATAAAGTTCGTCTCGTAGTTTTATTCGTATGATTCTTTTATCTTGCCGTCAAAACCTAAGTGGGTTCTGTTAGGTACATCACAGCCATGCTATTTTCTTTCGTTTTCTCACCTGATTAGTATAAGCTAAGTTCAAAATCTAAGCTTTGATTAAAAAAATAAAGTACTTTTAGATAATGTACCCTGGCCCTAGCCAAAAAACTAATATACCTAATAATAAAATTTCTATTAGTAAGAAGATGAAAATGTTAACAATAATAATAATTACATAGAGATAAACACTGAATCTAATCAAATGTTGATTAATTTGATTTTTTGTCTGCAGGCCCTGCATAGAGGAAGGAGAATACCCATTTGGAATATTTTTTGACTTAAGCAAAGCTGTTGACACTATTTCTCATGATAAGCTTTTAAGAACGGACATGTTATCCAGGCGGTATTGCCATAAACATGTATAGAAAAACAAACTAAGTATATAAAAAATATATAATCAGATATGTTAGAAGGAAAGTTAGGTGTGCCACAAAGGTCTACAATAGGCCCCATTTTGTTTAACGTTACATCTATGACTTGAGCACAAGTCTAGGAACTAAAGAACTACAACACTATCTGAAAATAATTGAATAGTCATGGTATCCGCTGTAGACGACATCAAGCTACAACGAAAAGGTAATGAAATGTCCGAAAATATGTCGAATTCTTTAAATTCAATCATTAGAACTGGTTATATAGACTTAATAAAATCCGAAATGATTTCAAATATGACAGAAGTTCAAAATATTTAAATATAAATTGAATCTCCATCTAGTCAAAATGACTTTGTATTTTATGGAGCTTTCATTAATGTTTGATTTTTAGTAGGCTATTGATTTTTGAAGTCAGTAGTAGTTCTTGCACACCACTGTGCACTATTTAACCTAAAATTTTAATACATCAAAAACAACAATATACGGCTTTGACATCAAACGTCAAATTGAAATTGACAATCTTACAAATAAGGTGTTTGCTCTACTAGGTATCAAACAATTATAAAAGATCTGTATAAGAAAATTTTTGTGATGTAGTGTTTTTTATAAGTTATATGTGATTGGAGTTGTACATTTTGTAATAGTATATATAAAATGTAGACGTTTCAGAAAATATCACTGACTTACTTTAATGTGCAATATATATTTACATGGTTGGCAAAATCAGATGTAAAGTTTCTATTATTTTGAAATATCAATATAAGTTAGTAATAATAACGTATAGCAGATGGATACAAAAATTGGATATAACTAAATAGTTATCTTGTATTTCAAGAACAAAAACTACCGTAAATTCAGTGAAAAATCAATGGATAATTTTAACAGTAGAATTTTTTACGGTGGTAATGATAAGTTACCGAAAAGTAATAAACTCTTTTGGCGGCGTTTTTAAAGGAAGATAATTTTTATTATATCGTCAGTATATAAAAGGCGAACCATTTTTAAGGCAAGTATGCGCAGAAATATAGTCACTAGATCGCCAAACGACCAAAAGGGTGATATCATGAGTGATAATTCTGAAAAGTGTGACACCAATCCTTCGTTTAATGAAGCTGAAAATCAAGAGTGTTCTGAAGAAAAGGTGTTAGTTCGACCAAAAAGAGAACTAATCGATGTACCGGATAGACCCAACATTGGATGTGATGGCATGCAAATACAACCATTTGGCGAAAATGACAACTAATCGATACACCGAACAGATCCAGCATTGGATATGATGGCAGGAAAGAAGCAGCATTTACATAAATATGTTTACCTTTTTGTATTACTTGTAACCTTATTATAATCATTAACGCTATAAATAAGTGGTTAAACAATTCATTTTGTTTCATTTTTGTAAATCTAAACACTTTTTGGGTGATTATTTTTCGCTGAAAGCAAAATAACCGGACCTTGCTATGTCCATACCAATGCACAATTTTAAATAGTGATAATTCACTGGACTCAAATTGGCTGCGTACTCCTGTTGAAGGATAAAATTCGTTCCGTAATTTTGTTTGAATGATTCTAGTGTATTTTTGCCAAAATCTTTTTTGCTTCTAATGATCATTTTCATCTGATTCCTCATCTGGGTAGTAACAGCTAAGTTCAAAATATAGGTTTTTCTTCAAAAAAGTAAGATTCTTTCAATACACCTTGATCCTCGTCAAAAAGATGAAAATTTTAACAATAATATTAATTACACAAAGATAAACAGTGAATCCAATCAAATGTTGATGAATTTATTTTTTTTTGCCTGCAGGTTCTGGATAAAGAAAGGAATACTTTGTGACTTGAGCAAAGTTTTAACACTGTTTCTCATGATAAGCTTTTGGACAAACTGTAAAGCTATGGCATTTGGGGTATAGGTCCCAAATCGTAAATTTTGCACACGTGGCAATATGTGGTAAATAAATATTTGGATGCGAAACAAATTGTACACAAATATATCATCGGATAAGTTAGAAGTAAAGTTAAGAGCCACAAGCGTTTATACTAGACCCTATTTTGTTTATATGTTGCACTTGAGCACAATCCTACGAACTACAGTAAATACAATGCTACATGAAAATGATACAACAGTCGTGCTATCCGCTGCAAACTCTATGAAGCTATGCGAAAAACATAATGAAGTGTCCAAAAACATGTCGAGTTGGTTTAATTTTAACAACCTATATCTAAACGATCAAAAAGCGAAACCTATCAGATTGTATCAAAATAATGTAAGTTTGACCTAGATAAGGTTACGTTTTCTTTTCTTGATTCTCAATTAAGTAAATCTACAAATGTTTTTTTTTTTTGGAGTGATTTTAGATGAAAAGCTTAGCTGGGGAGCACATTACAGTAAACTAATAGAAAATAAGTCAAAAAGTTGGTTGTTCTTACGTGGTAGGAGAGAGATATTAAACACCAACCATCTGTTAATGATATACTTACTATGGTTAAGTAGATTCACGACTAAGATAGGGTATATATTTTTGAGGAAGGGTATGTTTATAAATGTTGTTGTACATAAATCAACGTAAGTTTATGAGTAATAAAGAAATATAAAAAAAAACTAGTCGAAGCTTATTTCGACAGAACTTCCCTAGCTCCTGAAGTACAGGTCCAACAAATTCCACTTTTTGAAAAATATATATTTTGGTTATCAAAATCAGAAATTATGTTTATGTGATTTTGAACATACTCGCGATTTTATTACAGCAGAACGGGTCACTTTTTCTTTATTTTATAAGTCATGTATAACAATAGCATATAATAGATTATAGAAAAATCGGATACAATTAGTTATCTTTTATTTCTGAAAAAAATAAAACTACCGTAAATTCAGTGAAAAATCAGTGGATAACATGACTTTAATAGTAGTATTTTTCGCAATGATAAGTTACTGAAAAGTAATAAACTCTTTTGGCGGCGTTTTTAAAGGAAGATAATTTTTATTGTATCGCCAGTATATAAAAAACGTACTAATATTAAGGTAAGTATGCGCAGAAATATAGTCACTAGATCGCCAAACGTCCAAAAGGGTATTATCATGAGTGATAATTCTGAAATGTGTGACACAAATACTTCGCCTAATGAAGTTGAAAATCAAGAGTCCTCTGAAGAAAAAGTGTTAGTTCGGCCAAAAAGAGAACTAATCGATGTACCGGATAGACCCAACATTGGATGTGATGGCATGCAAGTACAACCATTTGGCGAAAATGACAACTAATCGATACACCGAACAGATCCAGCATTGGATATGATGGCAAGAAAGCAGCAGGATTTACATAAATATGTTTACCTTTTTGTATTACTTGTAACCATATTATAATCATTAATGCTATAAATAAGTGGTTAAACAATTCACTTTGTTTCATTTTTAAACACTCTTTGGGTGATTATTTTTCGCTGAAAGCAAAATGACCGGACTTTTCCATGTCCATATCAATGCACAATTTTAAATAGTGATAATTCACTGAACTCAAATTGGCTGCGTACTCCTGTTGAAGGATAAAATTCGTCCCGTAATTTTGTTTGAATGATTCTAGTGTATTTTTGCCAAAATCTTTGTTGGTTCTGATGATCATTTTCATCTGATTTCTCATCTGGGTAGTAACAGCTAAGTTCAAAATATAGGTTTTTCTTCAACAAAGTAAGATTCTTTCAATACACCTTGATCCTCGTCAAAAAACCGAAAAGTAATGTACAATACAATAAAGTAATACTAATAAAATTTCTATTAGCAAGAAGATGAAAATTTTAACAATAATATTAATCACACAGAGATAAACAGTTGATCCAATCAAATGTTGATGAATTTGTTTTTTTTTTGCCTGCAGGTTCTGCATAAAGAAAGGAATATTTTGTGACTTGAGCAAAGTTTTAACACTGTTTCTCATGATAAGCTTTTGGACAAACTGTAAAGCTATGGCATTTGGGGTATAGGTCCCAAATCGTAAATTTTGCACACGTGGCAATATGTGGTAAATAAATATTTGGATGCGAAACAAATTGTACACAAATATATCATCGGATAAGTTAGAAGTAAAGTTAAGAGCCACAAGCGTTTATACTAGACCCTATTTTGTTTATATGTTGCACTTGAGCACAATCCTACGAACTACAGTAAATACAATGCTACATGAAAATGATACAACAGTCGTGCTATCCGCTGCAAACTCTATGAAGCCATGCGAAAAACATAATGAATTGTCCAAAAACATGTCGAGTTGGTTTAATTTTAACAACCTATATCTAAACGATCAAAAAGCGAAACCTATCAGATTGTATCAAAATAATGTAAGTTTGACCTAGATAAGGTTACGTTTTCTTTTCTTGATTCTCAATTAAGTAAATCTACAAATGTTTTTTTTTTGGAGTGATTTTAGATGAAAAGCTTAGCTGGGGAGCACATTACAGTAAACTAATAGAAAATAAGTCAAAAAGTTGGTTGTTCTTACGTGGTAGGAGAGAGATATTAAATATCAACCATCTGTTAATGATATACTTACTATGGTTAAGTAGATTCACGACTAAGATAGGGTATATATTTTTGAGGAAGGGTATGTTTATAAATGTTGTTGTACATAAATCAACGTAAGTTTATGAGTAATAAAGAAATATAAAAAAAACTAGTCGAAGCTTATTTTGACCGAACTTCCCTAGCTCCTGAAGTACAGGTCCAACAAATTCCACTTTTTGAAAAATATAGATTTTGGTTATCAAAATCAGAAATTATGTTTATGTGATTTTGAACATACTCGCGATTTTATTACAGCAGAACGGGTCACTTTTTCTTTATTTTATAAGTCATGTATAATAATAGCATATAATAGATTATAGAAAAATCGGATACAATTAGTTATCTTGTATTTCTGAAAAAAATGAAACTACCGTAAATTCAGTGAAAAATCAGTGGATAACATGACTTTAATAGTAGTATTTTTCGCAATGATAAGTTACCGAAAAGTAATAAACTCTTTTGGCGGCGTTTTTAAAGGAAGATAATTTTTATTGTATCGTCAGTATATAAAAGGCGAACCATTTTTAAGGCAAGTATGCGCAGAAATATAGTCACTAGATCGCCAAACAACCAAAAGGGTGATATCATGAGTGATAATTCTGAAAAGTGTGACACCAATACTTCGCCTAATGAAGCTGAAAATCAAGAGTCTTCTGAAGAAAAGGTGTTAGTTCGACCAAAAAGAGAACTAATCGATGTACCGGATAGACCCAACATTGGATGTGATGGCAAGGAAGTAGTACCATTTGGTGAAAAAGACAACTAATCGATACACCGAACAGATCCAACATTGGATGTGGTGGCAAGAAAGTACCAGTATTTACATAAACGTGTTTACCTTTTTGTATTACTTGTATCCGGATTGTAATCACTAATGCTATAATTAAATGGTTAAACGATTCACATTGTTTCATTTTGTGTCAATCTAATAATTTTTTAGGTGAGTTGGAAGTTTAATGAAACGGACTTTTTCGTGTCTATGCAATGCACTTCAATTGTTTTTTAAATATTGATAATTCTGTTAAAATGAACTCAATTTCGTAGTTTCATTCGAGCTTAGTTTTGTCAGGTAGATCAAAGACTAGGATCTGGTTTATAGAAACCGAAATTAAAGTTAATTCGCTGTTAACTTTTAATTGAGGTCCGTTGCTAGGCGACGTGCATGTTTTAACCAATCACGAGCTCCCATTCCACATTTTAATCCAGTGTTAAATTAATCGAGGATTAAATATTTAATTCACCTTTCTATAAACCGGCCCTAGGTGTTTTCTTCTGATTAAGCTTTCGTCCTATTTTAAATACATGTGGAACCCCATCACAATTCCAATAGTTACATTTAAAAACATTAAATCTATAGCTTTAAAAAAGTATCTTACGAGTTAACAAACTTGAGACCAGAGAACCTCCATATTTGTATTCCAGTCTGCAGTTTTTAATAAAAAACATTACAAACTTAACGAAATTTTGAGGTCAATTTAAACGGACGCATTCATGTATTTTTTTAGAAGGAGCTGCAATGGTTTGCGTGTTGAAAGAAGATCTTAAGAAAAGTTTCAGGTTTCTTGTGGTATTATTTAAAAGGCTAAAAAATCCGCGAGTGAGGTAAATAACTTCCGAAACTGTGTTCCAATACGAATTCGAAAATCGAACATTTTACAAACTGTGCTATCAGCTACCACGCATGATAACAAATTTCCCTCTACTTTAGCTATCTAGAGAAATTTTGGGGTGCCCTAAACTGCACTCGGAACGTCAGTAGCAGCCGCACATTCGACCAGACTACAGTCAAAACAAATATTTCAGTACACAATCGTTTGTTGATTATTATTGAAGATTCTAAAGTGAAAGGTAATAATTTTATCTTAAGTACTTATTTAGTTTTATTTGAAACGATCAATATTAACCACCAAGCATTACGACAGCAGACAGCATAATGAGTGATTGTTCAGAGCAGACAAACACAAACACTGAAGAAAACAGCGAAGATATGACTGACGATTCCAACAGTTCAAACATTAACCCAGAGAACGAAGCAGGTTCAAAACAGCCAACACGAAACCGGGTCAAACGGCAAATATTTGATACTGAAAACAGACCGAATGCGGGGCTGGATGGAGCCGAAAAAGAAGAATTTAAGTAGAGACTAATTATGTTGTTAATCTATGTTCTATATTAACTATAATCATTATACAGCGTGTTATTGAAAGGTGCGTACAAAATAAAATCGGCATTTAGTCTCGAAGTATGGGTGCTAAAAGTAAAAAAAGTTCAGGTAAAAGTGTTCTTCTTTTGGAGATAAAAATTTTTAAAACTTATGTCCAAATTCGTTGTACGCCTTTGATAAAAAGATCATCTTTCGTTTCTATAGCAACAACTTTTGACAAAAATTTTATTGTTACAGTTCTAAAAAGGTTGGATAAGGGTTAATTTTCCCCTTATAATTTTGATAACACAAAATAAGTTTTTCAGACTTCTTAGACTTCGCCAATAACTGTCAATTTTGTTGTACGTACCTTTCAATTACACCCTGTATTTAATACTTGCTAGATGTAACTAGAAATATATTTTTTAAAATCGGTAGCTAGTTACGTTTTCCTAGAAGTGTTAAGTTCGTCTCCGCTCTCTAACCCGAAGGTCTTCTTTCTTATCTTAAACTGTGACTAAAATATCGAAGAATGTGTAGGACTTTAGTGTTTTTACTGTTTCGAAGGAATGTTTATAGCCTAAATTGTGGTTGGAAAAATCTGAATTAGTGTTTGTTATGTCTGAATTTGAGTATTGTGTTCATTAATTCACAAGTTGATTTTTTACTTGTGCACTTTGCACTTTTTCATTAGTATTAAAAGGCAGAATATTCAAAATTAGGCCGTTATTGTTTGTAATAGATCTATGTGTAAAAAATGATATTAAACATTTATATATTGTGTCAAGTCAGTGCTTTGGTGATTGTTATAATTTGATTTCGGTAGTCAGGATTACGACTATTTTTTCGCAAATTGGAATTTTTGGGTGCTTAAACTTGTGAGTATAATGAGAAATTGTATTTTTTCTAGAAATTTTGACATTCATTTTTCAACAGACTGATACGAACTTTAAGATTTTGCAAAGTAAGTTCGTTCACAGATATTGTCAGGGCTAGAAATTTGTTGCACACAACTTTAGGTAAAAAAACCATTTTTTAATAAAATTTATGGAAAACTTGACACTGATATTTTATTATTGAAACGTTGTAAAGAAAGTGAAATGAATGAACAACAGAAATTAAGGCAAATATTTTCTGAAATTCTTGACATTATAATTAATCAAATACAAATTAGATTTTCTAGCATAGAAATATTACACATTTTTGACGTGATTAATGTTTCTAAAAATCCATTTATTGTCAAAAAAATTCCATGTAGACTCAAAAACGAAAGTACGACAATATATTTTTTTCGATATTTAGATATTCGAGCATTTTGTGCCTTGCCTCGTTAGTTTCCCAACTCTGCTTGTTTTCTAAATGCACTCCAGACCAAATATAAACAAGCGTGTTTTCGCAATATAATGCTTCAAATCATAGACAGTGGCGGAGAATGCGTGATTAATGAATTCAGAATAACTAGCTCTACAGGATTTATATGGATATTTGATTTCGACTAACACTGCTGGATAAAACTGAATAATAATACGATAGCTTTCTGAATGATATTATGAAATTCAGATTTACATTTTGTGATGGCACAATAATACATTGGTAAGCGAGGAAGGATAATTGGATAGTTCAGCTGGTAGAATACCCGCCCGGCAAGTAGGAGACGTGGGTTCGAATGTCTCTCTAGTTGTACATTTATTTTTCTTTACTTATCAAACTGTTGAAGGAAAATTCTGCCAAACAACAACGGATGTTATATTTTATTACTATTTTTTGTAATTTTTTATTATTATAACTATTAAAATATCACAGATTTTAAATGTAAATTTTACCTGAATAACCTCATTTTCTTTTACATTTTCCTGGAATTTTCACCCCATTTCAAAATTTACTCTTTTCATAGAGAGAGACCGAAAGATGGCATATGGAACGAATAAATTAAAACTCCAAACATTATCACATCTAATCTAAAATTCTGAAGTTTGTAAACAACGCATTTTTTTTTTAATGTAGCAAAGACTTCAATAATATCCGTGACTTGTTTTAATATGTATTATTCGTATATTATAACAAATTTCGGTTCAGGTTACAACTAGTTATCTCGTATTTTTGGAACAAAAGCTAAGTACCGTAAATTCAGTGAAAACACAATGGATAACATGTCAATAATAATGTTAGTATTTTTGATGATGTTAAAGATATGTCCCGAAAAGTAATAAACTCTTTTTGCGGTATTTTGAAAGGAAGGTAATTCTGAAAAATGTAACATGGACACTCCATCTGATGAAGCCGTAGATCAGGAATCCCCTATCGAAAAGGTGTAAGTCCGGCAAAAAAGACAAACATGATACACCGGATAGATACAACACTTCATGTGACGGCAAAGAAGTACCAGAATTTACATAAACGTGTTTACCTTTTGTATTACTTTCAATCATATTGTCAACACTAGTGCCACCAATAAACCGTTAAACGATTCACATTGTTTCATTTTCGTCAATCTCATCACGTTTCTTAAGCGACTGCCTTTTTTGAAAGTTTAACGACCAAAACTTTTCCGTGTCTATATTTAAAAATTACTTTCACACTTTTCTGTGGATTTCCCACATCACAATGAGAAAATAATCATTACGTTGCTTTTCTCTAAACAAGCGTTGACGCAGGTGCTAAATATTTACAAGTCCACCCTGTCTGAAGCACCGCATTATATAAACCGCTAAAAACAATAAACCATTACCGAGAAATAATATAATCCACCTTCAACTTTGTTAAATACAATCGAATTCCTATGAAACTCGACAGAAGTCTTTGAACGATTTCCAAATATGAATCAATAATCAAACAAATACGCCTTGAAAGCGGATTTATATTATGTTGTGTCGTATATTTAGAGGTTTGTTACTTCTTATTTAAGTGAATGAAAGATGTTCGGTGCTCATTGTTGATTTATTTTTGACGACTGGTGCGACGAAACAATGGTGATGTGCGACGGCAGCAATCAAGATTCTCAAACTGATAGTAATCAGAATTCCGAAACAAGTAATAATGGGCAGGTACAACAAACAAAGAAGCCGGATGAAGAATATATTCGAGTAAAAAAGCAAGCATTTGACGTTCCCACCAGAACGAATGTGGCAGTAGATGGTAAAGAAGTGCGAGAGTTTAAATAAATCTTAAATATTGTAAGTAAAACAAATATCAAATTTTTATTTTCATATGCAGTGAACATGTTATTTGCAGTTTATGGTTAGTCAAATATACTTTGGTCTTACAAGTAACAACACTGGTAGGCTATTTATACGTCGTCGATATGTAATATAAATAAAATTTTATCCAAGGAAAGCAAATTGTGTTTTCATTGACAATACACCAGCAGTGTCTATAAAGGATTGGTCTACTAAAGTACCTACTGACTTTTGCCGTCTTGTTAAAAACAAGAGTATTAAACATAAATTTCGTCTATGCTGTTCCTGCTACTTAATGTACTTACATTATTTGCTACCGATCACTTATTTATGTGTGCTATTAAATATTTAAAATTTTATTTACTTATTTTGTATTTGTTTGCACCGTTTTTATCTATTTGCGCACCGGAGTTTTCTGTTTATAATGATAAATCACTGGAATCATTTTTCTTGTTGTTAAATTCTATTATCTTCTATTTACAAATTGTTGATAATAACTGTAGTTTGCACATGGTTATGATTACGTACGTAATGTATTAAGGGTCCTCTATTTTATTCAATATTGATGATAAAAGTATAAAGGATGAGGATGATAGGAAGAACTAATTGAACAAATGGCAAAAACATCACCATTTAAGTCTAAATAATAAAAATAGGTCTAATACTTTTTTATTCATTTAAATGAACGATGATGCATTTTCAGAACTGCGTATGTTACATACAACCTCCGGCGGTTGTATTGCGTTACTATGCACACTTTGCTCTCAAAAAAATTTAGTTTATTTTATCTGCTATTTTAAGTTTAACCCACTGTACATTTAAAGCTGTGATGTGACGCAGATGCGGTAGTGAGAAAGCTACCATGGCCGAACCTGAACAGTCTTCTAAAGAAAACGAACAAGCTGAAGCTAAAGATATAGAGCTATGTTTTGAACCAGAAAAGGAGAACCCAATAAATAATGAGCAGGGTTCAGACAAACCCGTACCAACTTTAGAATGCAGGATGTTCATCGATGTTCCTGAAAGAGGGGAAGTCGGTTTAGACGGAAGAACGGAAATAGAGTTTCAGTAAAATTATAATTTGTGATGTGAAGTGTTTTAAGCCATGTATGTATCATATTTTTTGTATAAATTATTTATCTTTGTCTAAAAAGAAATAGTTAATAAAAAAGGATTTCCCAAACTGTTTTGTTATATTTTTAAATAATAATCTTAATTTAGTCTTGGAATTTGGTTTGCATTTAAATTATATTTTGAACGAAAACTAAACATTTATTCAGTTATCCGCACGTATTATTCCAAAATGAAATTTAATGTGTTTTAAATAGCGTACGCAAATGACGTAAATTAGGAAAACATCCAATTTGTAAACGCAGAATTAGATTTTCACTTTCAAAGCACATTAATTAAATACATCAACTTCAATTTGAATGTCACTAAAGAACACAAATTTAAACATTATGTTTAAATTACAGCGGGAACTATTCATAATTTTATTTATATTTTTTTAACTTAAATATTCAACCATACACTAAATATAATATTCGGTTAGCAATTTATTTCAGTATTTTTTTAAGAAATCTTAAAATTTCCACTAATTTCTAAAACAGAATAATGTTATGATGTGCTTATTTTTAAAATGATGGTTTTTAATGGATGTTCAATTTAACAAATTTAATAAAAAAATGTCTCAATGATTTAGACAGTATTTTCTTATCTTCTCGAACATGATAATCATCGTGTTAAATTAATATGGCGTGAAATTTTCAAATATTTCAATGTTTAATTTGTGTAACATATAATCTGTCATTGTCTTCTGTGCAGTTTTTATTATATTTTTATAAATTATATGATACGGATTCCAAATACGGCAGAAATAAGTGATTCATAAACTACACGTTTGGGAGTAAAATTTAAAACCCATTTACTATGTTCAATCTCGAGGTAACGTTATCACATCAAATTTGACAACAATCGGTCCGGTAGTTTTGGAGATTATTTGTCTAAAAAATCGACACAGACGGCGAACAGACAGACAGACAAATAAACAGAGATGGAAACAGGAGACCTATTTTTGCGTACTGTAGGGGTCATGACACATTGAGAAAATATGACAGTGATACTTATGTTCGGAAAGTAAAAATTTAACAATTTTCGACAGGGAACAAAGAAATATTTATTGCAGAAGTCCAGATTTATGACGTTAAAAATTAACAGTAGTAATATAATTGTGTTTGCGTACCTGTTTCTATGACAATATATAGCAATTCTACATATCTCATCGTATATATAATTTATATTATTTACAGCTAAAACTAACATAGCACATATAAGTGTTCTAATCATTGTAAACGTCATTTACTTAGGCATCAAAATTCTTAAAAAAATATATCTCTGTAATTAAAAAAAAAATGTGGGTTTGCAATGCGCTAAATTAAGATTACCCCGTCAAGCTGAAAACAATGGCGTCTACACAAATTTAATAAATTGCAAATATCTGGAACATTATTATCTATGCTCTTACTGAGTTTTGTGTTTAGGTATCTCCAGCTTACATTTTCGCTTAGAATTAATGTATTTCCGGAATAAAGCTGCATTACGTTTAGTGTGAAGCCCATTAGAAGCAGCATAATAATGATAGTGATAATTGAAATTCAATTTTAATTAACATTAAAAGCAAAAACGTGGGCGAGGAATCTAACAACAGTCTGCAACGTCACAGGCGGATACGCTTACCGCTAAATCACTAAGAAGCTGTAAAAGAGTGCTTACATAATGAATATTGTCGGTGTTACCACTTATAATTTTTTTATTATCATTAGTCAGAGGTAATAATAAAAATATAGATGCATTATTAAACCACAAAGGAACATGTCACAATGCA